CTCGATCGACTTCGAAGATTACTGCAAGGCCAACAACATTGTTCCGCTCTGCCTGCCTTCCCATTTATCTCAAGGCAGCTCTCCCACCCACATTTTCGACATTATCGACTTGCTGGCAAAGAGCATCTCGAAACTGGCGCATGAGATGGTGTTGCTCCGAGCAGAGAACAAGGAGCTTCGTGCGGCAAATGAGCGGCAAAGCAAGCGACGCAGGACCAAAAAAACACGTTTGCAGGATGGAGGATCACTTAGTTTACAAGAGGCGATGGTTTTGATGGCAGACCGGGGACTTGGTGGTCAGGATTGCGAGGAAACGTCTGGGAGTGGTGCTCGTACGAATGCAGGCGAGCCGCACGTTCGGCTCTGCAGCAACTGCAAGAAGCCCGGCCATAACGTACGAACTTGTCAAGTAGGTTGCGAGACGCCTGAGGAAAGCGATTCCGAGTAGTTTCAATTGATTTGAGGTGTTGTGGTTGAATTGACTTACAAGGTGACTGAAGTCTAAGAAAAAGTGCGCCACTCGTTATGCTGCGCCACTCGTTATGCAAGTACGTTAGTTCATTTTGCGAAGTTCCGCGGGCAGCCGCAAGAATGGGAAGAAGCTATACAACGATACCCTGCGGGTGCGCCGTCAGATCAGCGGTGGGGCGCTTGATATTCTCTACGGTCGGTAGAAACTACATTCGCCTTCAACCACCGGTTCTCTTCCCAACCAGATATCCACGACTACATCACACACTCGAACATGCGGCGGCTTCGGAAACTCGACATCGAGCACGCATGTTATCTCCGCGGTCTCAATATCAATCCACCGCATGAATACGGCAGCGATTGGGGTGCCAGCTCTGTTGACTCGGACCTCGAGCGTTCCAGCGATGACGACGATATCATTCCCGGCGGATTTGAAAAATATCTCGAGCCTATCCCGGATAGGCTCCCCCTTCGGGAATGGAGTCTTATCTTTGCCAACCTTACCAACCTCACCATCATCCTTGCGGTGCAATGCTGCCCAATCACGACGACACCATCATCTCAGACAAGCAGGAAGTCAGGGCCCTGGGTGCGCGCCAAGATTAAGGCGGCCCTGCAGTTCTTCGATATTCATGTTCCACGGTCCACGATCCATCGTCAAGTAAAATGTGAAAACCACCAATGCTTCTGCGCAGTCAAAAACAAGACATGCAATCGGATTCAACGGTTCATCATGGAATTGTGGCTTGAAGGGTCGAATCCCGACAAGTGCACCGAGGCCTCAGATTGGTTCCGATCTATGGGGCCAGGGAGACAGGACAAGGGAGATGCGACCAAGGAGCATGGCTGATGGAATAGAACAGGGCTGGAATCCGAGTTGGCTGTTCGAGGTTGCTGGGCGCATCTGACCAATTTACTGTGTGCTTGGAGTGGAAAGCTCTGTTGTCTGCAAGTCGCTGCTTGATTAGGGACTTCCGCAGCTGTGATGTGCAGAGGTTGAACCGTCTGGAAGCTTTGCAGTTGAGAAAAATGGATCAACCAAGACGAGCTGGGCCATGGTTAAGAAATGAACCTCAGGACCAAGAAGTAGTAAACCGCGTTGTTGTCCCTAAAATATGCTGCCAGCTGCCAGTGGTCAGATCCAGAATTGGCTAAGTAAGGTGGTTTCTCTTCAAGGTCCCGTTTTCCCGTCTCAGCAGCTTCGTCCGTTGTTGCGCTGAGGTGATCCCAAGTCCTCCCAACTCCATCTTTTGCAGGCAGAAAACATCTGCCGGCAGTGGTTTACCGCCTCCGCAACATAATGAACCGCGATCCGGAATCGAGGCTAATGACTTCGCAACAGCCCATGTCGACGCATGGCGCTGGCAGAGCTTCTTGCAAGTTTGCAAGTGCCACCAGACCGTCCAAGCGCGAAGGTTCTCCTTTCCGAAGCCATCGCTATAGCTCACCTATGAAGGGCCTTTTCAGCGTCGGATCACTGGCAGCAAGGTGTCACAGAAAGTTTCGCCGATATGGGCGACTTAAACTCCCAAACCGCAACCTCCAGCTCTGAGAAACTGGCCTCAAGCTCATCACTCGCATCACCCGCGTCACCTGTGTAACGACGAGCAGTCTCCATGACGGCATGCGGACCTCTTTCCAATTCAGCCTGCCGCCTGATCTTCGGTTTATGGTTTACCGACACTTGCTCGTGACCAAGCGGAGAATCCATTTCGAGGTCTTCTGCCAGAAAAGTGGCACCAGGATTCATCGCACCGACCTCCCCAGCGAGTACAATACCATGCTAGGCACAAGAGAAATCGGCTCTGTACTCTTCACCTCTTACCACTCTCTGTGGTTCTCGACTCTGCTACCTGGCGACCGATCTTTGTGCGTCTCATTAGCCTCGCCCTAAAAACTCACTCTCGGCTGTGGCGATCTTTCTCGAGAAGGACTGGGCGAGACATTTCTCAATGACCGCATGAGAGATCGTCACCGAGAAGGCATGATCAGATTTGCAATCAGCTTCTACGATTCCCATCTCCCGGGCTCCTTGCTCGTGCACCGTCAGGTCAAATGCGGCTGCGCCTACACAAGTTCGGCATAAATTACGGCCTGGGCAAGAAAGATTGTGTGAGAGTACGAAAGTACCTCATCGAACAGCTTTGGGTGGGAACATCTCAGTGATCCCCAAGTCCAAGGAGGAGAAAGGCTACAGGTACCTAATGCTAACAGAGCGTGTGGTGCATTGATCGAGTTGACTTGGGCAGGGCTCGCTCGAGTATGGACTGGGCATCATTTTGCGGCGATACTGAACTGGTTTTGCTGAGTTTCTGTGGGTTTCTCCATGGTCACCTTATCAAACCTCCCACGGCTTCCCCACCCCCTTCCCCTCATACCACTCCCCAACCCACCCCTTCATCTGCCCCGTCGCCTCCAGCACCAACTTTCTAACATCTTCATTGACTTCCCAATTCGGCCCGTACAAATCCGAGCAGTGCACGCCGCCCTGCACCAATCTCACCGGCCGCCGTTCGGTACTCTGAGCCGGCCCCCCCGGCCGGAACTTGCTCGACAGCGTGGCGTCCCGCCACGGGTCCAGTTCGCCGTTGGTGAACATGGCGCGCGTCAAGTTGATGGCCGTCCAGCCACCCGTCCAGCGGTTCACGTCGCGCGCGCGCTTGCCCTGGATGATGCCGTAGGGCACGCCTTCGGAGGGCGGGAAGATGAGCTCGCACTGCTTGCGGAAGTATTGGGCGTTGACGTGGCGGGAGACGAGAGTCGGTAAGGGGAGGGGGGCGCCATCTTGCCACCATTCGAAGCTGTGATGAAGAAGGGAGGTCATTAGTGTTTGTATGGAGAGGAGGATGAGGGGAAAGGGGGTTGCGTACGGCTCGTTGCATAGCATCCACAGCCATTGCCGGTTGACCCAATTGCCCGGAGTCAGGTCCTTGTAGGCGACGTTGGAGGCGTTGAGGTTCTGGAAACAGCCGACGTTGTAGGTGCCCTGCCAGTCGGCGTAGCCGCCTTCCTCGCAGACTGGGACTAGTCAGCAACTGTGAGGGACTGGAGCGAACCGAAGAGGGCAGGCTTACAACCGGGAAGCATCTCTTCCTTGAACCACTTGGCATAGCCGTCCATAGCTTTCGCTAAACCGACGCCCTTCGCGCCGGGGACCTTGTTGGTCGAGTTTGGCCAGACGTTCTCGATGTAGTCGCAAAAGCGGGAGTAAGGGGTGTAGCCTGAGTTCCGAACCGAGTAGAATTGCGTCGACTGCCACTGCCACGGGCCCCATTCGAGCGCACTGCATCTGTCAGTCCTTACCGCCTCGCCCCCTTGTTGAAGTGCACTCACGAAGCGAAGTCGGTATCCTCGAGGTCCCCCAGCATAAACTTATCCTTTAACTCCTGCTTCTTCTTCTCCGAACCAAAGCTGAGCGTCAAATCGACGTAGTTGATCACCGCGTTGACATCGGCACTGCAGTTCTTGGGCGTCGCCTCCTGCACAGGCACAAAATACTGCCAAAAGTCTCCAATCGCCTCGACTACACCACTCGAGCCATAGTACGCCCAAAAAGTGTCCGGCTCCAGCACCGCAAGCCACCCTGCCAGCGCACCAGCATACGACCCGCCCACAAACACCCACGGCGCCTTATCCGCGGAACTGTTACCCGAGGTATCGAACGGCGGAACAAAGTTCTTCGCGAAATACGTCAAATCCTTTAGCGAGTTCTCAAGCGTGAGATGCGTCAGGTTCTGCACCGTCAGCTCCTCGTAAGGCGACGACTCGCCCCAGTAGCGATGCTCCAGAATCACGACCGCGCCACCCGTCTGGTTGGCCATCAGACCCGACAACCTTGCCGACCCCAGCCAGGTGCGGTTGAATCCTTCGCCGCTCTGCTCACCGGGCGTGACGAGGTAGACGGGCGAGCCGGGGCCCTTCCAGAACTCGGTGCCGTACCAGTAGCGCTGCGGGAAGGTGCCCAGCGACGGGTTGGCGTGGTCGATCAGCTGGTCGAAGGTGCCCCAACCGTTGAAGGACTCGGCGCGCTTCTGTAGGGTTGAGGGGGAGATGGTGTCGTCATCTGGGCCAATGTCCATTTTGGGCGTGCCGCGGTGGAAGGAGCCGGCCGCGTGGGTGGTGAGGAAGAGACCCGCCGCGAGGGCGATGGTGGGGAACCTCATGGCGGGTGAGGTGTGTTGTCAGGTGAAACGGTGAGCTTGGGACGGGAGCGGATTGCCTTGGGTGCTGCTTTCATCGCGGCAGGATGTTATTGTATTAATGAGCAATGCAAGGCGGCTTGGAAGGCCGTTTAGCGGCCCAAATTCGGCGATCGTCTCACGGGTTTCCACTGCATGCGGTGCGGACAAGTCAAGGATGGCGAGCAACCCACCAAGGTAGATAGTTGCAAACGGCAGCTGGCTATGTCACGTTTCCCAGCAGACTGCAATCTACCGGAGTGCCATTGGTCTGCGCCGATGATTTTGCATGGCCACGGCCCTCTGTGTAACCGTCGCAAACGGGAACGCAGTTGGTCCAGATTATTGCCGTCACCTTCCCGTTCGGTGTTGCGGGACGGGGGCGTGCTCCGGCCGCCGGCACCGTGCGTGCGCCCCACCTACCCCGCCGAAGCCGGCTTCTGGAAGGTGCTTGGTGCGCGGCACCTTTAGTTGATCTTGGGTGCGGGTATTTGCGCGTTAAGTCACCAAGTTCGTGGTCCAATGTTTCCTCCACGTTGTCGATGATGTTGCGGGCAGTGAGACTGTGATGTGCTGGAATTCCAGACGGATAGAAACGTAAAGGAGATCATGTTAGCCGCTTGCATTTGGCAGCAATCCGATGATCACCCATGACTGAGCTCGTCCCGTCCGATGTCTGGTCGCGTCGCCTTCCCGGTTTGGACTAGATGTAAAACAGAAATCGGAAGGAGTTTATCAAAAATTTGCCGAGGCTGGCAGTTTGGGCCAAGAGGTGGCTTCTAATTCCTCGCCTGCAAGGCCCCACTTGTCCCGGCGGAGCGACAGGGATCATTGGACGATGCTCACCGTGACAAAATCTTTCACACTCGTCACTCTGACGGAATCATCCAACTACCTCTCACTCCATTCTCCCATCAGAGCTTCAATAGAAATCCCCTTGTGATGAAATTGGCCATTCACGTTCCGGGAGAAATTCATTTCGAAGGTCACCGGTTCGACTCCGGTCGAGGGAACATCTTGCTCGCCCCATCTGTGCCGCTCTTTCTACACCTCGGAACAACCTGGATGTCTACATAAAGATCCCATACCTTCCCAATCGCAATATGCTGAAGACTCACCCCCAATCCCAAGCCTAGTGCCAGAATGCTCCTAGTAGCTACTAGCGTAGGGCTGACAGGTAACCAAACAACCCTCGCAGTCGATCGTTCGCCTCAGCGAACGGCGGGCTGTCCAGAGTGCCATGCGCATGCTGTTCGACTCTCCGCGTTCCCACTCAAGGTTGGCCAACAATGTCCACGCCCCAATGCAATTTCTCGCATGCTCCAAAAACATAGCGCTAGGTCTGGCTCGCAGACTCGTGCCCCGGTGGGGCACCGCACCCTTGATCGTGGAGGCATATTCTCGGGTACGCCCAAGAGGACGGCGTGCAGCGTGCGAAAGGACGAGGGCAGTAACTTGGCAATAGACGAGTTTCAACTGCGACTGCTCAGCTTGCACTACTCCGGTCAACCTGGATGCCCTCCCGGCCAGAACCAGATATCTTCTGCTCGCGCCGACTAGGCTAGAGGGCTTCATGCTCGAAACCAGAAAGTGGGCTCTTTTCGATATTGCCGACCTACATCCCCACCGCGAAAAGCTTGAGGATGCAGACCCGTTGCATTCGATATACCTGGACAAGATTTTGTTTGCGTCTCTCAACGAAGAAAGCGCATGCGTGGCACCAATAGCCGTGTCGACGACGCCCGACCGCGACCCGCAGGAAAGCTCGGCGAAGGTCATGCCAAAGAACTTGCGCGGGTCGTGGTGTCTAGTGATCTCTCTTCTGTCCCAGGAATGCTCCGGATGAGGCCCATCCGTCCCTCGCCGCCGCACGTCCCGGGCTGTTTTCCGGTGGACGATCCTGCACCCGTCTTCCTGGCTTCGTCAAACCGCCAACACTCGCGGGGCGGCACTCGGACGACGGGCAACTCTTATATCTGCTGCTCCGAGGGGCTGAGGCGCTTCTGGACGTTGCAGGCCCCTATCATCCGATGGGACGGCGACCAGCAGACGCATTCCAGGCAGCATCTCTCGCCGGTGGGGAGGAACAGGAACGGCCCGAACTGGCGACAGCGTAAGCATTTCTCGGACCGTAGGGCCTGATGGAGCTTCTGCACCGAGTGCAGGCCGCCCAGCCCTGTCTTGACGAGCGCCGCCAGGGCCTTCCACGCGTGCTCGGTCAGATTCGGTTTTCCGGGTGCGAGCGGACCAGGAAGTTACCCCCGAGCGAGACGCGAGAGAAACGGGAAGCTAATTGAATGTCGAGCAAAGTTGATAATCATCCTCTGGAGTTCTCTCGGAAGCTGGTCGAGTAGGCCAGCTGACGAAGGGCGGTCGGGGAATGTACTTCGCTCGGGCGGCTGCAATGTGTCACCGGCGGTGTGCACCGGGTGATTGGTATCGGCACCCGACGACCTTGAGGATCCTTTCTGGATCAGCGAGTAAGCTTTGCAGCTCAATGTCCTTCTTCAGGGGAGCGCTCAAAGAATTCCATGTTCTGCGGATGGTGTCAAAGCACGCTTTCAGATGGACAGAATCGTCTATGTATGTGCAAGATGGTTTGGAACTGAGTCGGCTGACGCCGAGCGTGGAATTTCAGCTCCGGAGGCCCCTTGATGTATCCGGCGGCGCACAAACCGGCTCGTGCAGTTGTAGTACTGTACCTGCTCTCTTGTTCCTCTACTTGCATTCACACACCAGCTCACCGCCGTCTCTCAACCTTGTGGATGGCCAGCCTCCATACAAAGTCAGGTGCCACTAAGCCATCTAATCAACTGCTAACAATTAGAAGAATATATCGTCGCCATCATCAACTAGTCTTTAATCCGTGGAGGACAGCTCAGACACAGAAGAAAGAGCAAGAAAGACGGAAAGAAAGCAAAAAAACAAGAAACGGGGAATTACGAAGCGGGGAGGGAGTCAGGAGCTAAGCTCTAGTAGAGAAACCCCGGGCGCGGGACGCTTTCGGTGCACACACATCTAAGTAGATTCCAGATACTACCAAGACCATATGTGTTTTTCTACGCTCTCAGCATCTGTCAGGACCAGGGAGCCAGCCCTCTCCCACAGCGTCTCTATATGCAACATGGGCCTTCAAGTCGAGTCCAGCTCAACAAATGCCCAAGCAATCTTTCCCCCATCAGTGCCCGAGAAAACGCCTACCTTGTACCACTTTAAATCCAGAACCAGGTCCTCCACCTCGACCAGCCAGGGCAGGTCCTCTACCTCGTCCAGATTGTGGAGGCTATTCACCAATTCAACCGCCCAGCGACCCCTTATTTCTCTAAGAACGGCCCCCGACCGGCGTCGTTCGCTTCCTGTGTGTCGCGGTGCACGCCATCTTGACGTACTTTTCGACGCCCGTGCCCTTGCAGGTCGCACATTTCCTCTTGCCCGTGCCGCTACACTCGCTCGAGCCACAGCATTTGGCCATGCGCCCGCTGACAAAGATGCAGGCGTGGCATTTCTTGTATCCGCGGCCTGCAGTTCCGCAGTCTGCTGCCGTGCAGGCTACAGCGGTCTTAGCGAAGCCGGCGTAATCGCTCGAGTCTTTGCCGCATTTGGTGCACTCGACCATGGTGACGGGATCAAGGGTAGGAAGCTGGACCTTGGGTTGCTGGTTGAATTGAGTTGAGTTGGGTGGCTGGCTGGCGATGATGGCGAAGGGGCGTACGAAGTGCAGGCGTTGTCAACCGCGGCTGATGACTAGAAAGTCCGATAGAATGCGAGTGTCTTGAACATTGAGTGTTCGGAATGATGTCGGTTCTGGGGAGGGAAGAACACCAAGATGATTCGCCGGGGCTGCCGCCTCAACTTTATAGAGAACAGAACCATCGCTTCCAACTCCCCCTTCTGCAATCCTCCCTTTCCCCCCCACTGACTCCTTGTCCATGGCCCCGCCAGACTTGCTTCTGACCCGGCCCTCGATGTGGCCCTCTTGAAAAGACGAACTTGACATCATTGACCACACAAGCTCCCGCGCCATGACCGGGCCGCAGTGGTTCCCCCTGACACTGAGAAATCAGGCGAGACCTACAGCGAGTGGAGTCTTAATTGGGCCACCTCGAAGATGAAACGGTCTGTTGGCGCTTGATCTTGGGTAGGGCGGCAGCCTACAACCGTGCAACGCCTTGCCGGATACGGGTTTACCATCGGAGATAGTCTGGACGTAACGTAGCTAGCTATGCATGGGGCTCTGAATGAAAGGGCCGGAATCCTCTGGCCCAGACCGACTTTGTTTCCGGCCTGTTCCAAGACGCCTTGTCCTTGACCCGAGACCCAACATTGGCGGCGTGCTTCGCAGGCAAACTCGGCGCAGCCAACGGTTACACTACGACGGGCTAGGCTGTATAGTAAAACCAAAGAAGGACGCACTCTACGGCGCCTGGGAAATGACTCTGAAAAGCTGCGCTGTTGGTGGGTTGGGGGCGAGCCCTGGATCGCCACTTGTTGGGATCGCCACTTGTTCACCTAAAATGAGTTGATGGTATAGGCGTGTACCAGTATCAAGACCGGTTTCAAGTTTTAAAATTAGATCAATAGGATTAGCTCAAGCCTCACGGTGCCGCCAGACCCTCTTGCTGAAGACTATGGGCTCGGCTATGCTGCCAGGAGGATCACGGTTTCCAGCCCCCACGGCCTACGCCAGTTCTCACCATCATCCTCGCCTGCATTAAGCCATAACTTTCCCGAACAGAAACGGGACTTGCATATCATGTGAAATAGAGCAATTAATTCAGGTAGTTGCCGCACTGTTGTAAGTGTTCCACACACACAACTCTTCAAATCCCCCTACCATTATTCATCATTCATGTATAGGTGGTTGAAGAGCTCACTCACAGTTCTCCGAAGCTTGGGTCGACCAGAGAATCAAGGTGGCACACCTAGTAAGATATATACAGTCAACGCTTGCCGTGTCGGCGCGATCTCGACGATGATGGCTTGACGGCCTCGTTGATAACATGCAGGCGGAGACTGTGTCGTGACAGGGTTTACCATTTGCGTCGACGATCATCTACCATGGCAGTCCAGGCGCTTCATCTGAGCCCATGAAGGTTGACGCCCCCCATCTCCACCATCTTGATGGGTACCTAATATTCCATTGGTCAGCCCGGAGAATAGGCTTGCCGACATCCGTAGGTTTGGGGGCCAGCTGTGTGAAATGGGCACAGACAGACCTCGTTTCCCCTCACCCCGTCGACTGACCAAAGTTGGAGGTTTATTCATGATTCAATCGGCCCGCTCCTCTATTCATCCACATCCACAACCTAACAAACCCAGCATTCCAAAATTCGAATTAGCAGAATGACACTAGAGCCTCTTTGTCTTGGCGCCCTACCACCCGAGTTATTTGACAATATCTTTTTCGCGCTCGACACGATTCGTGACCTTGCTAAGTTCGTTGTCACCGCGCGCTTCGTGCACAACCGCTTCAAAGCACGGCGGCAAACCATCCTATTTCACGTCCTGCAAAAAGAACTAGGTTATACACTGCCCGATGCCAGGTTCCTCTTTGTCTTCCCCTACTCGGACCCCGGGGACGCCGCAAGATACCATAACTGGATTCATGTCATGACCGGCGCATACCTGGACATGTTGGGACGTAGTGGGGATCAGGCCTTTCGAGGTGATCCTGGCCCCCCTACGCCTAAGGAGCTGACGGCGCTCTGCCGGACACTTCACCTGATCAACTCCATTACGGACATATATGCCACGGTACAGTTAACGTCGTTCGACAAGGCCGGTGGAGGAGAGACCCCAGCGACAACACCCCCCTCGCGCCTAGAGCGGCGCAGGATCATGCGGGCCTTCTACCGCCGCCAAATCGTAAGCAATGCCTGGGCCTCGACAAGGCGTCCCGCGCACTGGGACGACGACGACTCGCATGCCTTCAGCAACACGAGCACGGAAAATGGCCAGGACCTGGGCTTATTCGCCGCTTTCGATCCGTGGGACATGCAGCAGATTGACCATGTCAACTGCTTCATCCTGCGCCTGTGTCGCGCGCTCGTGCTCCGTGCTGCAGAGATGGAAGCAGAGATATCACCCAGCCAGTTCGGCAATCTCCACGCGCACTTGGATCACCTCGTGCGGTATTTGCGAGCACACCGCGCCGTCGCCGAGGCGGCCGTCGCGGACCTGCAGTCGGGGAATCCGCTCCCGCATGACGAGCGCTTGGAGAGAGAGTACGTGAATCGATACGAGCTGCTGCCTCTACTGTCGTGCTGGCAGACACACCGGTCGCAAGAGTTCCCAGACCCTGTCCGTGATAGGCAGGAGCAGGATGGTTTGCCGATGGACCCAGAAAATGTTGGGGACGGTCCCGGCCAGGTACCTTATGGCTGGTCGGATGCGTTGCGAGGGCGCCATATCCACTGGTATGGCGAAGGCCTTCGCGGAATTCCCTGGCTTCCGCCCTGCCCGACCACCGAAAAGAGCTGGGCCCATACCAGTGTGATTGAATGCTGGAGGCGATACGGCTTCGCCCTGTGGGACCGGAAACGGGTCGAGGCGTTGAAGAGGTTGAGCTGGTTCCAGGCTCTACAGACTGGATTTGTTCTGGATTTCTGCTCATAGGGTACACGCAGCCGAACTTGATCCCAAGCGATCAAAAGAGGCATCATGGACTTCTTGCACTAGTAGACCAAATTGGTCGACGAATCAACAGATTGTCAGTTCGTCAGTTTCTCGCTTCTTCAGTTTTTGAACCATGGCATCGACGGCCATGGCGGACGACAACTCTAGACGTCCAGCCAGAGCGCTGGAGCGAAGCCTGGCTGACGCCCCAGCTATCCCCGGCGACTATCTAGAGCTCTGGGAACCAGCAACAGAACAGATTTGTTGTTGCCGATGTTGAGAAACAGCCTTGAAAACATAAGCCGTTCATGCTGCACTCCGTCTGGTGCGCCAGGGTAAGCAATGTTGCGTCACAGCCTGCTTGTGTCACACCTGTCTCCTGCAATGAGGCCCATTACCCCGCCTAGGATGCCTAATGCTCCCCATTTCTCACAAACTCCCACTTCTACAAGCACAATCTTCCCTTTCCATACACATCAACCATGGAAGAAGCGGTATGCTTCAAGTGTAACTACGCCTTCATCTCATACAGGGCCCTTGAGGTCCACTTGATGAGCTGCGATGCCCCCTTTGAGCCGCTCAGATCTTCCCCTTGGGCTTTCATTCCTCCGCCAGCCTCATACGCTTCAGCAAAGGGGCCACGGTCTCGCCATCCAGGCTCCCAGAAGCGCTGGTACCAGTCCCAGATAACTCGGAGGTCCTCCTTGGGTGAACAGCCAGCCACGGCCGCCCGGCCCGAAACCACAACCCCTTCTCCTCCGACCGCGAGTCGGAAAGATGCAGCAGGAAGGCGACGAAACCATCTTGTTACAAGCAACAACACCAATGGAGCAACATGCACCAAATGCGGTATATCATTCCCAGACTCGAGGACTCTGGGCGAGCATTTCATCGAGTCTGAGGCTCATCGCTACGCCGCGGCGGCACCGAGCAGCATCTGGGAGGGGCCTGCGTACAAATACAAGGCTAAGTCAACAGCGGGAGGAAACCGACCGCTTCCTTCAAGTCGCACGACGAAGCCTTTTTCCAGCACGCCGAGGAGCGGAGAGACAGGGAAGTCAAGTGTGACGTGTGACTGTGGGAAGACGTTCCAGACCAACTCGGCCATGACACAGCATAGAAAGGACTCGATGAGACACAAAGAGGGAGCAGATGACGGAAAGGGGGTGGGAAGACAACATACAGACGCGGGATTTCCAAGAACGTCAAATGGTCAGGTCGTGGGTTATGATGGGGTCGACGACATTACTTCCGCCTTGTCTAAGCTTTCCGCCGCCTGAAGATTGTTGTGATTTCTTGTGTGTGACGGGTCTTGCTTTAAGTTCGAACTGCAGTCATTATTAGCTTGAGTTATTTTCAATGATCGACGAATAAAGGGGGGGG